TGTTACACCGGAGTTGAGGTTTTTCTAATCCCTTTTGGAGAAAGGCCAGTGGCCTGTGGAAGGGGGGGGGAGGTTAGAAGGGCTAAGATGTGCTGTGATTTCTCAAAAAGAGGTATCTATAATTTAACACATTCCAAGGAGGTCGGTTTCATCCGGCGAGTAATACGTCTTAATAGCCAGTCGTGGAGATGATAAGTGGTGAATAATTTAGTGGGTGCATGAACACATACAAACACACGCACACACACGCTGCCACTTCTCTGCTGTAATTAAAGAACAGGAAACTTCATTTGTTATACAAAATTATTGCTGAATAATTCAGATTCTAGTAATTACTAAACAGAGGAAAAAATTCATCAGTGGAAAAGGCACCTCTCTCCGGAAGCGTTGTCTGCGAGGGATCTATAATCAAGCCAATTACCTCTGAACCTTGGGCATGATTTAAGCCGGAGTTAACCAGGGATTTTAAGAGACAATTCGAATTCAATTTTTCTTTTTCTTTTTAAACTACTCACCATGTACTAATATGTTGAAGGGGAAAGAACTTTAGCTAATGGCTTCTGCAATAATTGAGCATAGCAGCCAGTATTTTTCATAGGGGCTTCCAAGCTTTAAATATAACAAGTATTCCTAAAATTGGGAAAAAAGAGTCAGGTCTGTTCTAAACAAAAGTGTAACACGTTTGAATACTAGGAAGCTCTTTGTTTACTTCGATATCTTTCTAACGCCGCCCAGAAGCGGCTAAAAATATTGTAAATAAATAAATAATAAATAATGATGACTCTCTTCTTATTCACTGTGGCAGAACAGACAACACGAGCAATTATAACAACAAAAATGCTACAATTTGTGCACCCAAAACCCCAGCAACAGCGCCAAAGTTGCTTGTAGAACTGCAAAGCTGAAGTGGCTTTTCGAATTCAAATTCAGACAAAAATCTTCTTCACCTGGGTTGGGCATTCCTAACACAGAAGAATCAGCTCCACGTGCAAGGTCTTCAAAATTCTAGAATAAAATATCAATTCATTGGCATATACATGAGTGCACTGTGTGGGTTCCCCCCCCTCCAACATAAACATATAGGAATTATACCTAGACCAAGTTGGCAAGGGCCTTAGCAGGCTAAGTGGCAACAGCAGCTCCCGTCTCTTCAGCTCTCCTGCTCTTTCTGATTCAAATCTCTTATCCACAGCCCTGCTCTTTTTTAGTCCCACTGCTTTGAGCTGAACCTGTAAGGGTGACAATTGCATACACTGGCATCTAGGCACGCACCTCTCAAGCTTAGAAAGAAGGCTCCCAGCTGGCATGGAGGGAGACAAGAACTGGATACTTAGGCACAGGCTTGGCCTAGCTAAGCCTCCAAAGCTTCTCATTTAGGCCCTGCTCCCAGGTGGATCACACTGAGGTGTCTGCCAGCTGCCTGCAGAGATGTCGGCAAGTCTTTGGGATTCACTCCCAGGTCCGAGTGTGAATCTTTTGGACCGAGTCCTGAGTTCGAGTCTCAAGGTCCAAGTCCCAAGCCCTAAATCTGAGTCTCAAGTCCCTTTCCCCGAGTCCTGCAGGGTAGGTAGAACTCCCATCACAGAGAATTGTGGTGGCCTAAAAACTCGGAAAACCTCGTTGCCTCCTGTTAAGGAGTCGCTGCTTGCTTTCTTTGCCTTGTGCCAAGTCATGTGGCTAGTGCATGGCGAGGAATACAAGCAGCGCTCCTTAATGAGCTGCTATGCTGCCCTGTGATTCATGCCGTCGCACTTCACGCGAGGGTACCTAAGCAGTAGGACGCGGATGAGATGTAACATCAGTCAGTCGAATGTTACTGCAGTCCCGCGAGCGACAGAACACAAATAAAAGAACAAAGTGACAACGCCAAATATGATTTATCCAGTTTAACTAATGGAGTCAATCCATGGAGTTTTTATGTGCGCAACAATTACGGGAGAAGCTAACGTTACCTCTCTGTTCAGTAATGTGTGGGGCCTGTCTAATAGAGAATGCATAATTTAACGTTGATTAACAACCGGTGTCAGGAAAAACGACAGGAGCAGCATTTCTTTCAAAACATTAGACGCGCCGTGTTTGAACAGACGGCGCGTCTACGCACTCCAGCATCATGGCTCCAAAAGACGCCGCTGGGAATTCCGAAAACATGGGCTGCTCTTGTATCTGGTAGAGCGAGCAATAGACCGCAGAGGTGTAGAAAATGTAACTTTTTGGACATCTCAGGCAGTCTGTCCAAAACTGGAGGTGCCTGGCGAGGTGTCTGCTCTCGGTGGCTGCTCCCAAACCGTTGAGCTCATTTCTAAGGAAAGCGATGGGTGTTGGACTTCATACTTTTTCTGTCTTTCTGATCTGCTTCCAACCTCTAACTGCATTAACTCCATGCTCATTTTAATATGAGAGCTTGCTTAACTGCACGGACAATACTGTCAGTTGGTATGTTTTTAGCTGCGTCTGCTTTTGAAAAAAAAAAAATCATGTTGTAAGCTGCCTTGATTCCCCCTGTATGGAGAGAGACAGCGTGTGAAATAACTAAACAGTCCCAAACCTAACTTTCATTGTGTCAGTCAGAGCTATGAAACATATTTCTCCTCTTTTTTGGACTATAACTCCCAGAATTCACGTAAACAGTCCCAAATCTAACTTTCACTGTGTCAGCCAGAGCTATGAAACATAATTCTCCTCTTTTTTGGACTATAACTCCCAAAAGGCCATCCTAGGTCATTTTGGGAGTTCTACAAAGTTCCAAATGGTATCATCCAAAACCCAATATCTCCAAGCTTTTGTATCAATATATGAAATGTAAGAGAATGGAGATCCTCCAAAGAGATAATATTTTCCTCTTGAAAGTGCACTCCTTCTAGATATGGAATTATTGCCTTTTTAGAGGTACAAAGCCATGCATCTCACAAATTCAGTTCCACAGACTTTATTCCTTTCCCACTTCTGTTCCGTTTGTATTGCTTCTGCTTGTTTCTTCCTCCATTTCTAGGCCTCTCTCTGTGTGTGTTTCTTTCTTTCACAAAGTCTTCACAAATATGTGTATTTTTTTAAAAAAAATAGGCTTCCTAATCTATACAAGATTGCACTCATTTGTCAGATTAGGAACATTATTCGTAGACATCCTCTCCTTGACGGGGGTATGTATTTTCTTAAAGTGCACCTGTTCACCTGTAACACATGAGCTGCAAGGTACAAAAGACTACACTGTAGCTTCAGAACAAAACATGCCAGTCTTTAAGATGCATCCATAGTGACAATAATGACGAATTCTTATTAGTTATCTCATTCTCAACTATTCTTCCAGTTTTGTCATGCAGAGAGGTTCTGATGGGACCGTCCCTAGCTAGGCCGGAGTTCCTAACATCCTGGAAAGAAGGGTTTTATTTATTACCTTTCTATGTTCCCTGTAAGTGAAATCCTGCAGATGTAACTACAGTGGTGCCTCGCATAGCGAGGTTAATCTGTTCCGGATTAACCCTCGCTATGTGAAAACATCGCTGCAAGGATCAAGAAAACCCATTGGAACGCATTAAACATAGTTTAATCTGTTCCAAATGGGCCGAAAACTCACCGTTCAGCGATGTTTTCCTATGGCCGGCAGCCATTTTCGCGCCCTCCCCTCGCTTACCGAGGGCGCAAAAACGCTGCGCGCGGCCATTTCGGGGCTTCCGGCGGCCATTTTGGAGCCGCCGAACAGCTGATCTGCGGGGCGCAAAGCGAAGGTCGGTAAGCGAAACACTTACCGACCTTCGCTATGCAAGTTTCGGCCATAGAGGCCATCGCTTTGCGTTCGCAGTTGCGATTGAGAAAAACCCCTCGCTATGCGGATTCGTTGTTCTACTGTGCGCCCGTTAAGTGAGGCACCACTGTAATTCCTGCACAGGAATCAGTGTGTCCTCCGAGGGAATTGCCAGATCCTCCCCAGGACAGGCATTTTCAATATCTGTTCACTGCCAGAAATAATTCCCAAGAATTCCTGGAAGTCACTGGGATTCTTAAAATTTTTTTTTCTCCTGGGTAATTATTTGTTTTCCTGTATTGAGCAAGGAGTTGGGCTCAATGGCCTTTATAGGCTCCTTCCAACTTCATGAGTCTATGATCAGGCTGTAGCTAAATCTCTGAGACAGATATTCCCCCCCCCTCTGCTTCTTGGGTAGAGCGAGAAGCAGCAAGAATATCAGGAAAAACTTCCTAACTGTTAAAGCAGTATGACAATGGAACCCACAATCTTGGGAGGTGGTGAGGTGCTCTAATGTTGGGGGCATTCAAGAGACAATCTATCAGGTCTGCTTTGATTTGGATTCTTGCCTTGAGCAGGGGGGGTGGTGGACTCGATTATTGTATGATTCTCTGTATGCCAAAAACAAAAACAAAAAAACAAACACCACCCACCTCTTTTTCCTTGCTCATTTTAAAGTCTGCAATTTCTCCTCTGACACATTTTTCCTGAACAGAGTAGTCAAGGCGGACTAGATATTCCTGAAACGGTGTGTTGATTTCCGGGCACATTCACTTCCAGACACTACACGGTGGGGAAATCCAGAGATGGAGACACAGACCAGTCTGGCTCACAAGCCTAGCGTGCTAAGAGACCAAAGCGGACAACTTTTTTTTTCCTGTAAACCCAGCATGTGTTGGACGCTAAGAGAGGATAAGACATAGAAACGGGGACTTTCCTCCGTTCAAAACATGATGTTCTGAACATGCCGAAAAGCGTAAAGAAGTAAAGGCTCGGAAACTCCGAGAGGATATCCACACCCTCGTCTCTCAGCCCCTTCCTCTCTTCTTCATAAAAATTGTATCAACATCGCAATTGGTGTGACAAAATCACCAATTTCCTACCTCCCGTGTCCGAGTGTGCCTTTCTTGTTTATCTTCTTTTTTTTCTTTAAAAAAAAATATATCCTGCCACCTCTCTTATCTTATAAGAACACTCGCAGCTCTTACAGCCAACAGGATCTGGACGGGCGTCCCTGCTCCCGGCACTCGCCATAGACACCATGGGTAACTGCAGTCCTACGGTAAGTACTACTCCAGAGTCATCTCGACTTTCCTGGGGCTGGATTTGGGAGGTGGGGGGGAGCATTGGCAAAGGACACTGGCCCCTGAAGCCTGTTAAGGCGTTTACATGCTGTCAAGTTGCCTCCGACTTACGGCAAGCCTATGAATTAATGATCTCCTAAAGGTCTCCTTCTCAATAATTCTGCTCAACTCTTGCAAACTGGAGGCTGTGGCTTCCTTCGCTGGGTCAACCCATTTCGTTTTTGGCCTTCCTCTCCTCCTGTTGCCTTGTAAAGGTCCTCTTCTCAATAGTTCTGCTCAACTCTTGCAAACTTGGAGGCTGTGGCTTCCTTCACTGAGTCAACCCATCTCATTTTTGGCCTTCCTCTCCTCCTGTTGCCTTCAACTTTTTCCCAGTATGATTGTCTTGTCCAGCGAATCTTGGTTTCTCATGATGTGCTCACAGTGTGGCAGCCTCGGTGTAACCATGTTTTCTAGGGAGGGTTCAGGCTTGATTTGATCTAGAACCCACTCATTTGTTCTTTTGGCTGTCAAGGGTATCTACAACGTTCTCCTCCAGCACCACATGTCCAAACATTTGCGTTCCTTCCAGTCGGTTCTTTTCAACGTCCAGTTTCCACATCCATCCCTAGTAATTGGGAATACCATAGTGTAGATTATTCTTCATCTTGGTGTCCGGAGACACCTCCTTACACTTGATGAACTTTTCTAGTTCCTTCATTGCTGGCCTTCCAAATCTTACCCTTCCTCTGATCTCTTGGCTGCAATGTCCATTTGGACTGATGAGTGAACCAGAATATAACACATCTTTAACAATTTTCAATTTCTTCATTGACAAGTTATGTAATTCTTCTCTAAACATAAATTCTGCATTCTTAATATTCAACTTCAGCCTTGCTTTTGTACTTTCTTTTTTCCCCACTTTCATTAAAAGTCGTTTCAAGTCACTGCAGGTTTCTGACAGTAAGGTGGTGTCACATCTGGACATCTTAGATTAGCCATATTTCTTCCACCAGTTTTCACTCCTTCATCTGAATGGAGTCTAACTTTCTGTCTTCATCATGTTGTGTTTTAATTGTCCCCAAATGAGAAATCTTTTTCCTTGTGGCTAGTTCCCTCTGTGTCTGGAATTCAAAGCTGGGGCGCTTGGCTTATTTGCTCTTAGGTCTCATTTTTCCCCTTTATCTTCTTACTTACACACACATACACAAACACGCAACCTGTACGTGTGATCAAGAAGCAGCTCTTACCTTCCAAACCAGTAAAGAGCCAGAAAGAAGTACAGTGGTGCCTCGCTTAACGAGCGCACCGTATAACGACGAAATCGCATAGCGATCCGTTTTTTTGGATCGCTAATGCGATCGCTCAACGTCGTTTTGATAGGGCGAAAATCGCTTTACGGAGATCGGTAACTGATCTTCGCAAAATGAAGCCTCGACGATCAGCTGTTCGGCGGACAAAATGGCCGCCGGAAGCTCCGTAATGGCCGCGCGCAGCGTTTTCGCACCCTCCCCTCACTTAACGAGGGCGCGAAAATGGCTGCCGGCCATAGGAAACCTCGCTGAACGGTGAGTAAAGGAGCCTTTTGGAACGGCTTTCCCTGTCCCGTTCAGCGATGTTTCACTATAGCGAAGGTTAATCCGGAATGGATTAACCTCGCTATGCGAGGCACCACTGTAGTTAAGCTCAGGCAGTACCCAAGTGGAGCAGTTTCCATGTGGGTCGAAGAAATACTTTAAAAACATACTATAATATTGTGATTTACCCCGGGGGATGCAGGGAATGAAAATGTGACACCTAAGAAAAGCCACCAGGTATATTACTGAGCTTTCTGCTCCATACTTCAATGCTTACCTCCCTACCAAAAAAATTAAAATGCACCTGATTTCTCATCCTGTTTTAAAAATGGGGGGAAGTATTTCCCCCTTTTAGTTTCCACTTTGTTTACCAACTCTGCTCCTACACTTTGGTAATAGGCTGCCCAGGTGAGTATGCAATTAACAGAAATAGGATAATTGCTGTGTTAATTGTGTTTCACAGCTACCCTGGTTTCCTCCAGTAGGATCCGGGCAATGGTGATCTGGCACCAGCTAGAACAGATCAGCCAAAAGAGAACGGTGATGATAAGCTTCAGAATATAAGGCAGTTCTATATGCGCCAGATTGCCGTAGACGGAATGATTTAGTGCTTTTAAATTGGCCTTTAAGTGGATATTTTGCATGCCACAAGCTAGCAATTCTGTGTGTGTGTGAGAGAGAGAGAGAGACAGCTATGGAGAAAAAGGAATATTTATTGTAAAGCTCCTGGAAATAACAATATTTATATAAACTAACAAGAAAGCGCATAGAAAGAGGCTGGGATATCAATCTGTTAACACTGAAATATCAATATAGAAAATGATGCTGCTTAGACATCATTCTGCCAGCAAATAGCACCGCTCTTGACGAAACCCTCCTTAATTCTTGTTCCTGAATTTGCTAGTAATGTTATTTTATGTGCAATTGATGGGGGGGCGGCGGCTTTATGTTGTGTTGGCAAACAGCCTGCTGTTGTATCATGGAGAGTGGAAGATAGGAGGGCCTGGCGTGCTCTGGTCCATGGGGGTCACGAAGAGTCGGATACGACTAAACGACTAGACAACAACAACAACATGTGGGCAGGGCACAGCCATCTCTGGACTGTATTCAGAAACTCCCCAGGGCCAATGAGTCAGTGAGGACCCGGCCACTCCACTTCTGGATGAGGGGGAAACTTTGCCCATATTATAAACAGGGTTGCCCGGTGAGGAGCATCTGATCCTCTCGGCGTTCAAGGCCGAAACCTGAGACCGGTGGGCAGGGTCTTGTGATGTCACAGAGGGGAGGCAGGCAAGGGGCAAGAGGTGGCCCAAGCAGCTGGTTGTGGAAATGTGCTCAAATGGATCCATGGAAATGGATTGAGAGTCTTGATAAAACTCAGCTAAAAAAGGGTAATGTGGCAAAGTGTCCCAGAAGGGCTTCCAAGCAGCTGGTTGTGGAAATGTGCTCAAATGGATCCATGGAAATGGGTTCAGAGTCTTGATAAAACTCAGCTAAAAAAGGGTGATGTGGCAAGCCAAAGCCAAAGAAGAATGTATTTATTTACTTATTTATTTATTTAATTTATATCCCGCCTATCTGAATCACATAGGACCACTCTATGTGAAGGGGGAATAGCTCCCCCTTCTTCTTTTTTTCTTTTTCTGTGGCCGGACACATAACAAAATGTGCACTCCAGCCGGGAAACTGTTTTTTGTTTTAGGCATCCTTCAGTCTGGAGAAACTATGGGAACGTCCTCTGTATATGGAGGACTTGAAACAGCATCTTAGTGTGTCTGAGAAGGCCAGTTCGAGAGTGACAATCCCTTCCACACAGAAGACAAATCCAATCTGCCCCCTGTCCAGCTCCTTGATCAGTAATGTATACATGCTGAATATTCCAGCTCGTTCTAGGACTACTCTATTTGGAACTTTGTCCTGCCAGGTGATACCAAAAATGCGTCGGAGGCAATGCATATGGAAGGTGTTCAACTTCTTCTCCTGCCCTGCACAAAGGGTCCGGGACTCACCGCAGTAGAGGAGTGTGCTCAGGACACGGGCTCTATAGACCTGGATCTTGGTATATGTTGCCAGCTTCTCATTGAGCCATACTCTCTTTTTGAGTCTAGAGAACATGGTAGCTGCTTTCTCAGTGCATTTATCCAGCTCAACATATAGGGAGAGAGTGTCAGAGATTGTTGAGCCAAGGTACACAAAGTCATGAACAACCTCCAATTGTTGTGCGGAGATGGTAATAGAGGGAGGTAAGTCCACGCCCTGGCCCAACTTTGAAATGAATTTTCATGCCCATATCTTTCCTCCAGCTGAGCTGTAACTACGGAAAGGCCACTGGGGCTTAGACCCAGGAGGCCAAACTTAGAGGGCAAAGCCATGTTGCTTGGGTCTACCCAGTGTGATGTAGTTGCTGGACTGACAGACAAAGATTCAGGAGACTGGGTTCAAATCCTTGCTCAGCCATGGAAACTCATGGGGGAAGGGGGTGAAACTGGTAAAATCCCTCCTTAAATATCTCACTATTTAAGCCCTATTAGGATGGCTTCCATTTCAGAGCATCTGTGAATCCACTCCATAATTTAGGTTGTACTTTGCAGATGTTATCCTGGGCATGGAGCCCACTTTGGGAAGAGGGTCTGGCAGATTTAAAGTGCAGACCAAAATCCGGAGTGGTTTCCCAGAATCCCTGAATTTGGAGCCAACCACTGCCACAGCTTCCAGCAGCTGGAGGTTAACTGTCGCATGTCTGTGCAATATCCACATGAGCCAGAGACTCGGGTTTTTTTCATGTTGTGCCTCAGGTGCAGAGAACCTGCAGAGACAGGCCACTCTCCCCCTATCCAGATCGTTGTGTTGGAAATGATGATAGGGTGTAAGGACTAGGCATGCTGCCTTCTTTGCATGTGCTCACCGCATGCATTGCGAATGCCCGAAATAGTGCTATCCGAATGAGTCTTTTTCGCCGCAACACGAGACAGGTATAATATTCTACCTTCTGATGTCTATTTAGAAGCCTCAAAGAGCCGAGCCAAAACATCTCAATTTCCGGAGACGATTTCCGAGATGGATTTCACGCCGCATACCCCTCTCTGCCGTGCATTTTAAAAAAAAAATACAGCGACATTCAATATTCCCAGCCATTGATGGGGTGGGTCCAGGCCACTGTGCAGGAGGGAGAGGCTGTCCACACGGTGGGAGGTGCGGCCGCAAAACAAAGCCACACAAAATGACAATCCCACTCCTCGTCTCCACATACCGTTTGTGCTTGCAGGCAGTTTGTCTCTGTGTCTGTTGCCTGAGAGCAGAAAATGGGGATGGACATCAAGCCCTGGATGCCAGGCTTTGTTGGAAAAACCTGGCCGGCCACTGCAGGGGACAAGATGCTGAACTCAGAAGGAATTTGACTCTGACCCAGCAGGGCCGATCTT